AGAGCAGCTGCGAGAGAATTCAACATTAATGAATCAATGTTACGGAAGTGGAGGAAGCGCAGTTTTTGGCTTTCCCCATATTTCAAAAGTGCTTCATCTCTTTGCTATGACTGTCGCCCAGCATAATTTGCAGATGATAATAATTTTAGCTGCGCCTGTTGCGCAGCTTGATGACATCATCAACATGCGCTATCAGATAGAGCGTTATAGTCAAAATCGCTATCGTTGGCCAAATTTATATCGTTTCTATCGTATATCGTTTATATCGCCCACCCCTACTACAAGGTTTAATATTGAGAAACTTGAGGTGGAAAATGACTTGAGCATTGTATAATTCAAGTAACATACATTGAACATACCATCAAAAAATAAAATAAATCATAACATTAAACTCACCTTGCTAAGTTGATCAGGCTTTTTCTTCATCCCCTGAGACCAGCTGCACTGAATCATCACCAGCTTTCCTCATCTTTTTCGCTCAGTGAGGTCTTTCCTTTCCTTGGCCATTCCTCTGCCAGCTGCCTTTGCACTGGAAAACCAAAGTGTGTGATCACAGGTGAAGTAAGGGATATTTTTTCCAGTGCAGGGTTTAGAGTAGTGATGGTAAATTTGATTCTTTTTACTGAATCGGATTTTTAATGAGTCGCTCACCAAAGTGAATCGGTTTTTTTGAGTCATTTGATTCACTGAGTCAGTTGACCAGAGAGTGCAAAAAATTTACATTTTCACTCAAACTTAATTTGTCTCTCTTTTCATGTAAATCCCACTGCTAAGATGAATGATTCTAAAAAACAACCCAACTATTTTATGGAGCATAAAAGAGCAAAAACATTTCTAAAATTAAGCAATTTCCTATCAAAATTGCTTAATAAACATTTATTTTGTTTATTTTTATTTTATTAGTATTTTCCTTAAATTTGTTAAATATATATTTTCTCATCTAAATGTCCACTGAGCTGTGAGCCAGGGGGCGGTAATGCGCCTTAACATTGGTTGCCAACCAAGAAGAAGAAGAAGCTGTGAGCCAGGAGGGAGGGGGTGAGTGAGTGATTCATTCGTTCGCTCGCTCTATGGTTCAGCACAGGAGGGAGGGGGTGAGCGAGTCCTGAGTGATTTGCTTAAGCTTACGATTCAGCACAGGAAGGGAGGGGGTGAGTAGCTCAAATGTGTTGTTAGCATGTTAGCAGAGCGATGCTACTGTGAACCGAGAGGCTATTTTCTTAATGTGAGCTTCTACTCAGGGTTTTTTCTTCCAGTTCAGAGCAGAAATGCTTTTGTTAAGAAACTGGCTGTTGTTTTCTTCCCCCCCGCAATTTTAATTATAAGCTAGATATATTTCTACTAAGCGAATTAGTTTGCTAACAGAAACAGGGATGAGTCAGTGAGTCAGTTGGGCTTGTGAATCATGATTCACGAGTCAGTAAAGTGATTCCCGAGTATTGAACGATTCGTTCACGAATCGAACATCACTAGTTTAGAGTGCTCCATTTGGTGATAGCTGTTGAACAACATTTCTAAGGATGTTGAAAAAGACAAATATTTCTGTTTACTATTCGGCAAAATCATCAAATAAATCACATTTTCAACAAAAGTTAGAGCGAAGGCACAATTACAGGGAAAATGTGTCTGTCTGTGACTAAATGTACTGAGGTGAGTAATTTGCTGTCAGCCTGCTTATTGATTCATTGTACTGATGCTACAATGATTTGTACAAATCTTGGAAATCTACAATAATATTTCTAAATAAAACTGATGATGTACAATGTTGTCAAACCACCTGATTTATAATATTGTTACTTAAGAATAAGAAAAGTAACAGTCTTCAACAATTGCAGATAACAAAATCACAGATTCTCACCTCACGCTCGATGATACCGAACGCATCAGCAAAGAGCTCATCAACCTCCAGGACACTTACAAGACTGCAGTGGAAACCATGAAGGATGCCAGGAAGCAGGTGGACAGTGAGATGGGCAGTCAGACACAAACCAACTGGGAGCTTGAACACCAGACAAAACGAAGCAATGACTATAAAAGTCAGATGGAAAAAGTTACAAAGGAAATTGAAGCCATGAGAACACGCTTATCAATGCTTAGTAAGACCGGTTTCATTGTTTCTGTTTATGATAAAATTGTAAAAGCATAATGATTTATTTCATAATTTACTATAAAGGTGGTATTATCTTTTGGAAACAGGCGATGGCTGCAAACACTGTCCTGCAGGATGGATTTTAATGAACTCTGTATGTTACTACTTCCCCTTGAAGTCAAATGAATTCAAAACATGGAAGGAATCCAGAGATTTCTGTCAGCTGCAGGGAGGAGATCTTATAATCATAGACAGCCAAGATGAAGAGGTTTGTTAGTATTTCTGTGGAGCAGTGTTCATGCAGATTTCTGAAAATTTATCTTTGGTTTTGTTTCTTTTTTTGTTAGAACTCAACAGTCAATTATTTGAGAAATCAGCTACTTCCGTGCAACTGATATAAGATGCGGTAAGCTGAACACAGCTTCAACCGTCTGTTTATTGAAAAATAGTAACGGACTGCATTTTCTTGTGAGTAACTGTAACAGCGTTTTAACAATAGGAATAGTAATTAGATTACTCGTTACTGAAAAAAGTAACGCCGTTTCTTGTAACGCCGTTATTCCCATCACTGGTCTTTCCTCATCATAAAATTTAGATTTTGTGGTAACAAACACATTGATGGCTTACATAATTGGGATAAAGAAGTTAAAAATATGTACAGCTTCTGAATTTAATGTAATTAAAAGATAAAATTCACAATATACCCGCTCAAGTATTCACCAGAGAAAGAGAAAATGAATTAATTCATTTACTATGTCCCAGATTTAGGGGCTTCAACACAGGACTTGGCCAACTGGAAATCAGGCCGAGAAGGCAAAAATACTTTTAAAATTAAAATAGTGTTTACATTTATTAGTCAAGTTTGACTTTATATCGAGACTTAATGAGATAAAGGCAGGTTTCAGATCAAGTAGACATGTCAGGTGTGTGTTTGAATCAATGCCTTTAGAAAATGTCTGTTTGCTCCACTCATTGCAATGAAATGTTTGTAAAGCATTTTAAAAATATATAAATATTTTCCCGTTTTTGTCCGGACCAGATTATCAAATCAAAGCAAAGTAACAACTGAAAGTAACACACTGGAAAAACAAAACAAAAAACGTGACTTTTGCCTTCAGGCCCCTACCCTCCCACAGCTATCACCAAATTCGGAGTGCGCATGCGTTGATTTTTGTACCGCAACATGATTGGCAGTCTGATGTTTTATGTGCTCTACTATTTATCACGGTACCTGACCGTTCGACCCTCAGGTAAATCTAACAGTGGATTTGCAAACGTGTCTGAACTTATGATTGTCGGCTGAGCAAATACGGACTGAAAAAAAAAAACTACGTATGTATTTCCCCAGACACGCTGCCTGGAGCTAATAGTGCTAAAGTTTAGTTAGCACTTTTTTTGCTGTCTGCTTCACCGGCATGAGGTTTTTGGTAATGTTTCCCGTTATAAGCTCAGTGTGACACACGTTGTGGTGTCCCCAATTTGCCAAAAGTTTCCTCTTTGTGAAAACGGTAACGAAGAACATATTTAGCTGTTGCAGTGTAGCTAACTTTATGAAGTGCTACATGAGTTAGCTTGCACCTGTTCTTGAGGTCTTGACGCCCCCTTGTGACACAAAGACGCTATCACATGACTTTTATGGTGTTGTTTATGTTCCGTAAGCACGTCTGTGTTTTCATGGGTTGTCGTTGACCTCTTAAAGTATAAGGTTTAGTAACTTTTAGCATACCTGCTTTCTTACTGTATTCTTGGCTTACAGGGGCCTCAAAAAAGGGCCTCCCTCCTGCCGTGGTTAATGACAAAGCTGCGTGGGATGCCAAAACCCGGAGGTTCACCGATTTGCAGACAGAGCAGCTGGAGCAGCGGCTCCGCCCAACCGGTGGTTCGAAGGGAGAAACGAAAGAAAGGGTAAAAGATCCAAGCCCGGAAGTGGAAAAAACTACAAGGAGCAACATGGACAAAGAACCTCCAACGGCTGTCCCGGATAAAGATACAATGAGTGACGGAAACTCAAACATTACTTCAGAAGTACCATCTGAAGTAAAAGAGGAAGAAGCTGGGAAGAGACATGGAGCAAATCAGGAGAACCTTCAAGATTCAAAACAGGAGGATAGAGAAATAATTACCCACCATAAGGTGCTGCATATGGATGCAGAGAATGGGGGAATCTCACCAGCAAAGGAGACGATGCCAGAGCAAGCACTCGAGGAACAGTTAAAGTGTCTGCAGACAGAGGACAGCATAAAAGATACTGCATCTCAAGTACAGAAACAAGCCATGGGAGAGTCTGGATCTCCAGCTAAGAAGAGCACACCGGAAATGACCAGCTCAGCAGAAGACCAAATTCAAATACCATACATGGAAAAGTTAGAGACAACTTTTGAAGAGTGCTGGGATGAATACATAGTCCCAGCTGCAGATGAGCCACATGATGGAGTCAGCATTTCCGAGACGGTGTTTCCCTCCCTTCTTTCTCATCCTCAGGCCCACTTTAAGCTCAGTGAGCAGCACCATGCACAAACCAGCTGGCACTTCCCTGCAGGACCTGGTCTCACAGAAGAGGTGCAGTGCCCACTTATAACTTTTCCTTCAATGAGCTATTACCCTCCTGTAGAGCCAGCACTTCCCTTGGAAGGTGAGGATGAAGGCTATATTTTGTTTTTAATTTAATATTTTTACTTTTTTTAAAAACTAATTTACAGTTCAGTAACCCGCTCCATGTATATCTGTCCTTCTTCCAGTGATGTGGAGAGTCTGGGTAGAGATGGATGAGAGTGCTGCTTCAGCAGAGCCTGCCCTCATACCCTCCACAAATGCCACTATGGACTTCACTGTAATGTCCTACAACATCCTTGCTCAGGACTTACTAGAAGCCAACCAGCAACTGTACACACACTGCCCCCTGGAGGTGCTGGATTGGCATTACCGATGTAACCTGCTTTTAAAGGAAATAGAACAATGGCTACCAGACGTGAGTCATGTCAAATTCATGTTTCTGAAATTTAACCTGCAAAATTTTATATCTAATGTTAGGTGTCCGCTAATACTCTGTGTAGATTTTGTGTCTTCAAGAGGTTCAGGAGAACCACTACCATGAACAGCTGCATCCTGCCCTGTCTCAGATGGGTAGGTCAGCTGAGACAAAACAGTGGAAGAGTCATGTTGGGGGATGTTTTGACAAAGATGTTACACATATTCTGTTCATGTTGTTGATCCAGGCTACACTTGTGTGTACAAGAGGCGTACGGGAACCAAGACAGATGGATGTGCTACTTGCTTTCGTAGCAGCTTCTCTCAAGTGGCTGCCACTCACCTAGAGTTCTTCAAGCCTGAGACGGAGCTGTTAGACCGGCACAATGTGGGCATTGTTTTGCTTCTTCGGCCACTGGTCAACCGGGGTTCACAAGTGAAGGAGGTGGGCTCGCCGCTCTGTGTAGCCAACACCCACCTGCTTTTCAACCCCAGGAGGGGGGACGTGAAGTTGGCTCAGTTAGCAATATTGCTGGCTGAAATTGACAGCGTGATCAAGTCCTGTAAGGCTAAAGGCGAACACTGTAACGTAATAATGTGTGGAGACTTTAACTCTGTCCCACACATGCCTCTGTACCAGCTGATCACTACCAGCCAACTCCACTACCAAAACCTGCCAGCATGGATGGTAAGAAAATATAAACGAATTAAGTAACGCCTTGTCTCGATTTTTATTTATTCATGCCTCAGTAAGAGTTTCTGTATTCACTGACAGGTATCAGGTCAAGAAGATCTGTCATATAAGGCCAATTGCCACAGACTGTTGGCACCACTTTGGCCCAGCTCTCTGGGAATCACTGGCAGCTGCCAGTACACTACTGCCAATGAGATATTTGAGAGACAGAAATCAGGTAAGGTTAAGTCAAGTGCACTGTTACTATAGTAATATTAATCCATAGCGCATGTCTCATTCTTCAGTGGTATCTTTTCTCCATAATTTCTATTGATGCTTGATGATTTCTTCCTCTTGTGTAGGGAAATGTCAGTACAGCCACGACTTCATGCTGCAGCTGCGCTACTGTCCAGCTGCTTGTGTCCGTCCTCAGGGCCTGGAAGAGATTCCAGGGGTGACTGACATCACACCAGGTAGTACAAAAATACAATACAGAAACTGCACTCGCATTTTCATTGAAAGCTCCTGATTTCCTTACCATGATATGTTGATTCTCTGTTAATTTTTTTCTTATTGTGCACAGATGCTTCAAGGGCAAATCATCTTGATGATAAAAGGTCAGTTTACCACAGAAGCAACAGACAATAAACAACATAATATTAAAGTTACTGTAACTGAATTCTTTCTACCATTTAGAAAGTTACATATCACACATGGAGCTAATGTATGATGTACAATATTATCAAGCTTACGCTGATTTTTAGCTCCATGTTTTTAGTTTTAGACTCTCCTATGGTAGCTTTACATGGTTTAAAAAGCCCTTATTTATGTTGAAGTGAACCTCGGTGGAGAGCTCTGCATCATCCGCTGTCTGAAAAAAGTAGTTTTAGCTCCTGTCACTTTAAGGCCACCTTACCTTTAAGCCCTTTGTTCTGTTTGCTGCCCTTTGTAAACAAAACATTACGTAGCAGATGTATGGTGCTGCTGTTTACCTGGTATCTAGTCGTTTACCTGGGATGACAATATTAAGGATGCCCACACTGAGCCTAAGCTTTTGGGTCACACGGATCACATTTCAGTACTGTGTAAGCCTCTTTACATTTCTTTATATTTCACCAGGAACTTGGGAAATGCAGAGATTGATTGAAATGCATACAAAGTTTGTTCAATTCTAATGAGCTTTTAAAGTCAATAGTTGGTATTCTTCAGCACTCTATTAGGCAACTTTATTGTAATTTATTTAAGTGGTCTTTATAAATGGATCTTCTGGTGTTTTGAAGGACATTCAAAGCTCTTCTTTGGATGTTGCCTTTTATCTCATTCTCTGTCAAGATGATCCCACAGTGCTTCAGTGTTTTTCTTCATATCCAGGTATGCTTATACTGCATTGGTACCATGTTTGGGGCTGTCTTGCGGAAAATTCTAGCTTTTGTCAATCAGTTGCCTTCAGATAAGTGAGGCACAGTGGGTGAAAACTTCACAGTATTTTTATACATGCATAATTCCATTGTTTTGACAAGATCCCCCAACACCACTGGCTGAAATCCCACGACAGAGCCTTCCTGTATTTTACAGACTGCTTTAGAGGCCGTTTGTACCTCTCTTCTCCCTCCTCTGTGCATATTAATAATGGTTGGGGTGAGAAATTTCAAATTTGGATTCTCATCCCACAGCGGCATGGTGGTTGGCACTGTTGCCTCACAGCAAGAAGGTCCTGAGTTCAATTTCACCATCAGGCCGGGGTCTTTCTGTGTGTACTCCAGCTTCCTCCCACAGTTCAAAGACATGTAGTTAGTTAAGAGTAAAATGAGTAAAAAGCAGCCAATATCCAAGTAAGAACTTTTTTTTTTTTTTTTGTTATTACTTTATTCTGAACAAAACGAGACAGCAACTTAGAAGAGACAGATCCAGGACAAGGACATAGATGACTTAAAAACACGGACGATACAATAATTGAAACACGGGGGATATAGGAGCGAGTGTAGAATTTATAATGTGCAAGGAACCTCAATGTGAGAAGTGTCTTTAACCAGAATCTGTCAGTGATCAGGTGAAAGATGGTGGGATGTGGCAGCCCAGCAAGCAAGACAGCTGTGCAGTAATCTGGGTCCAAAAGGGCTTCGTGTAGGTGCAGAGCCTGATTGCATCTCGGGGTGTTCTGAGAGCGCTGTATGCAAGTATCGGTGTCGCTAAATCCAATTTTGCAAAGGTGATGCCAAGAGTGAGATGAGTAATTCTTTTTTTTTTTTTCTTTCAAAATAGTTGAATTGAACAAGCTATAATTGAATACAAAGTCTGGGTTATTGAAGATGGTCTAACTACAGAGTGTGTGATCTGATATGCATCCCACCAGGCTGTCAGAGTTGACGCTATTGTTATACTTTGGAAGCATTTATGTTTTTTAAGAGGCTGGGTGATAAGCGGTAGGTCTGACAAATGTATATCTTTACCAAGTACTTGTTTGGTATCTAACCAGGTGGTTTCATGTTGGGAGTGCAAGTATAACTTTGAAAGACCTTCAGAAAGCTTGGAGAACTACTGCTCAAGAACACTTTAAAAACACAAAAGTGTCATTTGAAGCAAGATATCCAGAAAGGAGGAGGTGGCTCAAGACTTTTGCACAGACCAGTACATATGTTGACCTAATTGCATCTTTGGCCAAAACTAATGAGCATCCACCACTGTAACAGGATAGACAGATGAAAGATGATAAATAAAAGCAAAATATGTCCACTGGAAGTATAAATAAGATCTATTAATCATTAATTCTATGGTTTTGCAGCTTCAGACACACAGTCCGCCATCGGTTAAACCTAGAGTCGGTTTATAAGCACATTCTCCCAGGTTCTGGAAATCCAGAAGTGACAACCCTGCATTCGGAGGTCGGACATACAGTCGACTACATCTTCTATTCTCCAAAACATGTTCTTACTGGTCGACAAGGTATGAGGATGTCTGACACGAAGAATATTTAAGATGTTCAAGCTCTAAATTAATTATTTGTGACATTAAATATATTGTGTTGTTTATTGTTTCTTTTCCCTAGCTTGTGCTAGCTTTCTGAACGATGGCCTGAAACTCATCGGGTCTCTTTCTCTTCTGTCTGAGGATGTCTTGTGGTCAATGAATGGCCTTCCCAATCACATATTCCCCTCAGACCATCTCAGTCTTCTCGCTAAATTTCAGCTGGACCTCAGTAGTGCTTGACGGGAAGAACTGTGATTGAATGTTGGAACATATTTTTTTTCCAACTGTTCATTTATACATGTTTTTGTTATAAATACATTTTTTCTGCTTCACTTCTGGCAACAAAATCATAGTTTTGCAACTGAATAGACCTTAATTTTTTTTCCCAAATAGCAATGTAAATAATGGACACCATTTTTCAGTCTACTTTTTTTGTGCTTTTCATTAGATAAATAGTGAAATGTCACAATTCTTTAATGATGCTTTAACAGTTTCTTTTAAAAATGCAGCCATTGATTGCTTTGTTGCTGGTGTGGAAGCTACATGGACCTGTTCATGTTGCTGTTGGTGAATGTTGTTTTGTTTGGGGTGGGATTTTTTTTTTCTTTTAAATGTAGTTTTGAAACTAAATATTTTTTAGATTGTTAATAATGCTGAATAAATATATTCCTTAAATGTGTGCATCTCCCTGTGTTTACTGTCTGGTGATGTCTGGATGTCATGAATTAATATTTGTGTGGTGTTGATTTGTTAATGCATGATGAATCTTAGTGTGCAAGGGTTAAATGTAGGCTGTAGAGTGTGTCATCACCCCTGTCAGTATGCTGTTTAGATATATAGGTTTATGATGAAGGAAAACCATGAACCCCTAACCTCTGCTGGTATGATTTTGTTTACTTTGTGTGAATTGCAGTTAAAGTTCAGTTCATCATATACTAGTGCAGCCCCTCGATTAACCCACTGTTTGAGACGAGCCATTTTAAGATAACATACTTTATTTCTCCCTAAGTTAGGACATTCCCTTGCCCTGCTAGCTGCTTGTCCTGTGTGAGCACACCATGATTATTATTTCTACTAGGAGTAAAACTATAAATAGATTATTCAGTTTGGGCATGGTCTTACTTTTTCAGCATTTTTTCCAATTTGAAGGTATTCTGAAATCTAAAAGTCCAGTATGTTGAACTCTGCCATCGCAGTATGACAGTGCTTTAGTTTGCTGAGGCTTGTGTTTCCCCTGTTATAGAAGTGTTTGCTTTGTATAGTAGTCCTGACAGAGATGGTGTTTAGAGAGCTCCGTGTGCTCTTGTTATGTGGTTTGTTCTGGAAAGATCTGCAGTGCTCATTATGAACTGCTGATAGATAGAAAACCAAAGAATTCCCTGCCTGGCACAAAGACACCAAATTACAGTGTGACTCCTTGTTAAGTATAGAGTTTATGATCTTGTTAAGGATTAGCAGACATTTTAACCTTTTTTAAGCAAGGTGTTGCGTAATCTCCAGGCATTCAAAGTTTTTTCTTCGGTCATTTGCTGCTTTTCACAAATTTTCAGTCCAGTCCTTGTACCTGACCCGTTTCCTAAACCACATAACGCTGACCTATGACTTATTCAAAGCATAAAAAAGGCACGTAATTCAAGCAACGAACCTGTCTTGTGTTTACACATTATAGAAAGCTGAGCAAAGAACCAATTTTAAATTCTATATTTAGAAACTTTGTTACTAGAAGCCTGTCACAAAAGCAAATTTGTTTCCAGTTCTTCGGTTAAATCAAGGAAAACAACAAAAACTTGGGATATCTCAGTATAGCATACAGTGTGTTCTTAAAAAGTCTGAGGAACCTGGACAAGTAGAAGACCAAAGACGTGTCAGGCCTAAAACCGTATCTACAGCAGATAAGCACCATCTGAAATTCTGTTAAAAAATTGGACAAATTCAACAAAGACTTAACCAGGGTCCAAGAGACCCATCTAGTGTCTTTTTATCACTAAAAAATAGATATACAAACACACTAAACCACTGCCTTAACTTTCTTGTTGGAGGTAATAAAAAAAACATAAAGATGTGTTGCCATAATCGACGTGACTCTTTATTGTGATTCTGCAAATCAACAGTTTTTGATACAAAACAACCGTGTTATAAGACATGAGAATGGACAACACCTACCGTAGAGATAAAAACGTTGGCTGCAGCAACATTTGAAACAGGGTGATAAACAATAAGTATTTACGGGTGATCGTCAACAACGAGGGTATAAAATGACGGCATTTCCAATAAAAAAATACAAAATGCAGGTAAAAGTGCTGTAAACAAACTGCTATACACTTTTGTTTAAATGGAAGTCAGTTACTTAGGTTACCACTTAAGGCAAGTGAAACATTTGATAAAGTTGCTACAAATAAAAGTACAGTTCACACAAACTCGCCTCGTTGTTACTTTACAATAAATGCAGCTGCATTACTCATCGGCTTTAACTCATGTGAAAGATGTTATATTTATCAGTTAGAATAACTGATGACACGTGTGTTTATGTTATAGTGATTCAGACGGGCAGAGCTGCTTTGTGTTTAGTCGGGCAATAAGAATAATGGGTTAGATGTTTTTAAAAAAGTGTTTATCCTCCTCTTTGAATTATCACACAAGGCACGAGGGAAGTGGTTTGCAAACTAGTCACTACACAAGTAATGGTTGCCCAGCAGAGTCTAAGTGGATATATACTACATGACATTTATTTGCACACTTACAGTACAACTAGACAGATTGCAGACGAGCCTCGAGAGCTTCTGTAGACAGCACAGGGACCTGTGATATGTCCAGCAGCTGAGCCGGTACTTTTTGTCCAGCTTTAGCTTCTTCGCTTTGTTTTACCAAAACTTTTTCAGTCATTTATAATGTTTACATATTACTGCACTTGTGCCCCGGCTCTGTTTTATGTTGGGAGCACTGCCAGCACCAATTTCTATGCACAGTAACTGCTACAGAAGAATACTGTAACAACACAGGGAAGCTGAATGAGGCGTTTGTTTGCGAGGAGTTGCTGGTAATCTATTCAACACTGAATCCTGTGAACGGGCCAATGTGTACAAAAAAATAAACCTTAGGTTAAATCACTGGCCCCTGGAAAATATCAGATTCACGTCATATGACATGTAACACATTAACCGCCACTTCCATGATCTAAATCTAAATCTGTGGGCACAAATTCAATGAGCAGCGTTGGCATCTGTGAGCGAGAAACAAAACAAAAGGGTAGGGAGGCATAGAGGGGTACCTGTGTGTACAAAGCTCAGATCAGCCCCAAGCATGAGGGAAATTTACACACAAGTCAGCTCTGCTTAAAAAAAGAAATTCTGCTTCTCTCACGACCTGATTCGAGGATTAGAAATCTCTCGGCCCTACTGTGATTGGTCACCGTAAACACAGTCATACCCACATGGAGATTCTTGTACTGTCACTGACAGCTAATATTACAGGAAGTCCAGAGGCGGCGGAGTTAATGGAGACTCCAAATTAAGGGTCCACATAACAAATTCAAGTAAAAACATTTTTGTCAAGTAACATATAAACATTGTAAAACTGGCAGGGAAAAAGTGCATTGTAAGATTTTCTTTAGCCTATCCAAATGAATAGCATTCCTTAACTGTTTTTAAGCCTGAATAGGTAAGGCTACACAGTGGGTATAACTGTTTTGCAGCAAAACACTCAACTCACACGCTCTGCCCTTTGTTCCTGATTGGATCATTAAATTGAAATTTAATAGAAGTGAAAACATCAGAGCAGGCGTTTTTCTTTTTACACTGAGCTGTGGTTGCACCTATAGAGCATCCATATTTCACTGCTGTAATCAGATTTTTAAAAATTGATACTGACTGTTTTTATGCTGCATTTTAGCGCTTTTTCTTTTAACCAAAACACATTTGAAAGATGATGTCACTTCACAGCTTTAGCTGTGCCATAGCATTAACCTGTATGAGCACGTGTGTCCTCCAGCACCAAGCAGAAACTCTCTCAGACACATGTCCCATTCTTTGCCTCTCCCTGTGTTTTTTGTTTCCAGCTGCATCCCGGTCATTGAATTTGTGCATGAGGACTTGTGAGTGGGTGGCAGTTAATATGTGCACGTGTGGAAATAATCAAATTTTCTAATGAACGTGTTCTGTTACGCTCGTATTCTATGGCAAAATCTAACACCCTGTGTGGCGCTTTGAAATCTGCTAATTATCTAAAAAAATAAAATCTTCCTCAGACTCGAATCTGGTATCCGTTCATATCTGTGGAGGATTTTTGTTCCAAAACCTTCTTGTCTCCAGAGGGGCTGCAAAATAAATAAATAAATGTTAGAAACAACAACGAGGTTTATTCATATAAGAAGCAAACTGTGACTAATTTAGAAGCTCCTTCTTTTTGCCTTCGATCATAAGACATCTCCAGCGCAAATACTGAGAACTATGCAGAGCATGTGATTAATCATACCGCCTCTCAACACGGCTGATCCTCCGTATGGGGCTGCCTGGTCCTCTGAGGGGTGAACCCATGCTGTTCCTCCTATCTTTGGTGGGAGATGGAGGTGCAGGCTTTCCTATCTGCAAAACCACAAAAGAACATAAGAGCGTCATTCACTTGAAAACATCATGAGTGAGCTACCAGTGCTTTCACCATTACTCTGAGTGTCAGTGGCTGAAGTATGTCTCTGTCTTTAATGTGATTGTGTAATGCACTGAGTGCACAAGATCAGCTACTGATGGACAGAGCCACCCTTGAGTAAAGCACTGCAGAGCAGCGTCAAGTCATTAGTTTTATTATACACCGAGCTCAGCATCCAGGCTGCCTTCATTATATGAGCATCAGAGGTGATGAGAGAACAGCATTTGAGAGAGATTGCTCTTCAAACAGCGGTTCAAATCAGTGTCACCACGCATGAAGAGAGAGCACGTCAAAGGGGATTTGATAAGCAGAAAGGGCAGTCCATCTGCGCCACTCTACCTTTAGCCTCATGTCTCGAGTATGTCTCTCCAGCTCCTTCCGTAGCTCCTCCTTGGTGAGCTTGTCCACATCAAGTATCGAATGTTTCCACTCTATCTGCTCCACGCTGTGAGGATCGTGGGAAACGTACTGGCCAATCTTGACTTTTCGTAAGGTGTGCCAGTAGCCCCTGTATGCTCCTTCAAACTCCTGGACCAAGTCCAGTAGTGTTCGAAATTCCAGGGGCTTAAACATGAGGTCCTCTCTTCGGCTCATGCCCAGCGCTCCGAAGCGCCCCCCGCTGTGGACTCCCAGCACAATGTGGTGGAAGTGGTTCCCTGAGAACTGAGATTTAAAGCTGAGGGGGAAGCGCTCCACGGCAGGCATGTTGTTGGTGAGGTAACTGCATCAAGCTGAGTCAAGGAAACGTACAACTGACCTTCAAATCCTAAGTCTAAAAAAACGTCTGTACAAATTGATCTAAAACCGGGCATATAATGGTGAAGCCTGCTGCTTCTTATTATGTAGAAAATCCATCTGTTTTGTTCCGCTATACTAGATAATATCTGAAGCCAAAATTTGATGAGAAAACATACGGTAGATCTGCCAAAAACAAATTTATGAATCCATTTGTCAACCCATTCTGTCAGGCTCCACTGGAGTGAAGCAGAAAACAAAACAGTAACACTTTATAACACGGCCGTGACT